GAGTTGAACATTTACCTGAGGTAGAAACACTCCTTGGAGAGAACAAGCATGGGAGAAAGAAGGGCTGCTTATGCACAGGGAGACAGCTCAGGGGGCAAGAGTGCATGGAGGGATGGACACAGGGAAGAGGTAAATATCAGGAGGAAGTAGGAGGGGAGATGTTGCATTGTGGTAAATTGTGGTCAGTGTCATGAGACCAAGTGTATGTGAATGGCTGTATGGAAAGTATTTGCTCTGTAAATTTTCACCCAAATCATAATAAAAAGAAAAAAAAAATGGGTCCCTCCCTCTATCAAATAAAATCAATTCTAGGTGAATTTAGATATAAATGTGAAAGTTAAAATTTAGGAACCTTTAAGAAGAGATTATAGGAGAATATCTTCATTACCTCAAAATAGGGGGAGATTTCTTACATAAGAAACAAAAAGTGGTAACTATAAATGAAAAGATAGATAAATTCACATACCTTAAGATTAAATATATCTGTTAATCAAAAAATACTTTAAAGAAAAAAGACAAGTACAAACTAGGAGAAGTTAGTGCCAAAACAAATCCAGAAGATAATATTGTTAACTGCATAGTGTCGACCCCCAACTCATGGTGACCCTAGGCACAATGAGATCGGACGATTGTGATCCACAGTATTCTCACTGGGGGGTTTTCAGAAGTAGATCGCCAGCATTTCTACTGAGTATATCTTAGTCTGCTGACACTTGTTCAGTGTCACAACAGCAGGCAAGCCTCCAGTGACAGATGTTGCATTGGCTGGGAATTGAACTTGGATCTCCTGCAGAGAAGGCAAGGATTCTATCACTGAACCACCAGTGTCCTCTCCAAAAGATAGAAAGAACTACAAATTAATTAAAAAGACAGCCCAACAAGGAAAATACAGAGCAGTAGAAACATGAATCCCAATATAAATCTGAAACAGTGTTTAACTTCATATAGTAATCAAGAAAATGTGAATTGAGATCATAGTGAAATACCATTTTATACCTACTATAATGGCAGAAATTAAGAAATCTGCTAATGGAAAAAAAATCTGAAGTCTGGCAAGGTATTATGCAGAGGCTATTTATCAATAAATGCCTTAAAAACTGTTGATAAAGAGTGTAAATTGTTATAAACACTTCAGAAAAATAATTTTCATTATCGTGAGGGTGAACATTTATACAGCCTCTGGACCTTTACTGGGAGCTCTGGTGGCATAGTGCCTAAGGCATTTGACTGCTAACCAGAGGCTGGAGGTTCAAACTCACCAGGCACTCCTGGCAACCCTACTGCTGTAGTGATACCGCCTCGGAAACCCAAGGCAGGGTCGCTATGTGTTGGATCTGACTTCGTGACAGTGGGTTGGGTTGGGTTTGGTTTTTGGACCTTTACTACCAGAGAAGCTGTTACACATATTAAGAGACATGTGGGGTAAGGTAACTATTAGTTCTATTTATAATTGGGATTTAGATACACTATTTTAAACAAATGACCTTAACTTGAGAGAAGTTATATAAGAAAAGTATAAAAAGGCCAGGGAATATTCTAGATTAAATGAGACTAAAGAGACATGACAACTAAATGATCTTAATTGGATTCTAAATATAAGACGTATAGGGAGAACATTATTAGGAAACTGGGAAAATTTGAATACTGACTGTATATTAGATGATATTTTATCAGTGTTATATTTCTTGGGTGGGATTATGGCATTATGGTTATATAGTAGAATGCCTTTATTCTTAGGAAATAATGTGTGTAAGTGTTAATAGGTAAAATGTCATGATGTCTGCAATTTACTTGCATATAGTGCAGCAAAACAGGAAAATTTCACATGTGTGTAGCAGAGATGAAGCTGGTATGGAAAATGTTAACAAATAATAAAGATGTTTGGGTGTTCATTGTAATTCTGTCAACTTTGCTATAGGTACGAAATTTTTCAAAATTGAAAGGTGAAGAGAAGACTAACAACATTGAACAGTATATTATTTATGTATACATATATGATAAAACTAATAATTAAAAAAAAAAAAAAA